TTTGAGTAATCATCTGCCAGTCTTATGGGTGCTTTCTTGTAGGTAACTAACTGCTTTTCTCTTGCTGCTTTTAAGAGTCTCTCTTTGTATTTAACCTCTGGTGTTTTACTTATAATGTGTCTTGGTATGAGCCTTTTTAGGTTCATCTTTTTTGGGACTCTCTGAGCTTTCTGGGCTTGTATGTCTTTCCTTCAGCAGGTTAGGGAAGTTCTCCATCATTATTTCTTCAAATAGCTCTCCAACTTCTTGTTCTCCTTCAAGTACCCCTATGACACAAATAATTTTACAGTGAATTGTGTCCCATAGGCTCCTTAAATTATTATTATAGTCTTGGCTTCTTTTTTCTTGCTGTTCTGATTGATTGTCCTTGTCTGCCCCATCCTCTATATCGATGGTCTGAACCTCTTCTTTAGCCACTCTGTTTATTCCCTCTAATATCCTCTTCATCTCAGATAATATGTTATTCATTTCTGACTGGTTCCCTTTTATAATCTTCATTTCCATTTTCATGTTTTTCATGTTAAAGTTCTCACTGAATTAATCCACACTTCCCCTAAATCCATCGAGCATCTTTATAACCAGTGTTTTGAACTCTGTATCTGTTAAATTGCTTGACTCCAATATTCCTAGATCTCTGTTCTGTTCTCTGTGGTTTCTGCTGCTTTGTCTTCCCTTTTTGGCTGCCTTTCTGTGTCTATTTCTATGTACTAAGTAAAACTCCTAAGTCTGCTGGTCTTATTAGCGTGGCTTTGTGTAGTATATTTGTTTATTTTCTTATTGTCTGTTTCTCAAACTAGAAAATAAGCTGCATGATAATATGGTCCTAATCTGTTTCCTTAGTTCCTAGAACATGGTATATAGAAAACACTCATTTGTCGAATGAAAGGATTTTTAAAACCATTTATAGAGCACCTATTATGTATAAGCCACTGTGTGTATGGCATAGAGGTGAATAAGATATAGTTCATAACTGAGAATAATCTACAATCTAGAAGAGTTCAGAGTGATGTATTTAAGAATACTTCATTAAATTGTAGCTAAGCAAAAGTTCATAAGTCTAAAGAGCTATGGTCAACGCTCATGTATTGAGGGTGAGGAGTCATTTGTCGCCCTGGGTGCACTTTTAGACTGACTTCTCTGTTCCTCTGTTAACATGGGTTCACCTTCCCACCATGCCCTTTTGTAGGAAGGATGGGCCTGGTTAGGCAAGGAGCACATTAAAGAGACAAAACTTCCTATGGATTCTCTCTGCCATTCTCTCTAATGCACCAGTAGTCAAATATACTATTAAAACATTTTTGTCCTTTCTGCAGATTGTGAGGAGTGAATTTAATTCACTCATATGTTCATTCACATGTATGTGATAGTTTTTCCTGTAGATTCGGTTGTGTTTCTCTGTTCTTCCTTGAATCTGGCAAAAAGTATTTTCTAGAGGCACAACCAGGAAACTGATCTGAGCCATAAAATTAAACAGCCAGCTTAGAAGATGAAGCTGGCCTCATTTGGTCCTCACTGGGGATTTCTCATTCTTAAATGGGGAGATCCTTCTATTTGGGGCTGGGAATACTTCCTACTCTGAGGAATCTCAGTTCTAAGACCCTCTGCTAGAATCTCAGGCATTCTGTTACCTGGAAGTGGCTAATTCTGTGAGCTTCTAGAAGGCTGTGGGACCTGTACCATTATGGGCTGTAGCATCAGCTGTGTTTCTGCTTGGTGAGCTCCAGAGTTTGGCCAGAATCACTACCCCAGAGACAATGGGGAAGTGGCAGTTGCACTGCTCAAGAATTGCCACAGGCAGCACAGCAGGCTTAGGTGATAGCTAAGATGTAAAAGCAATTCCCACCATCTATCATACTTGAGTGTCTGCTGGCAGCAGGCCTTGAATTAGTTGTTTATCACCTCATCTCTCTTTTACCTTTTTGTAGCCACACATTAAAAGTCAAGATTCTTAAACATCTGCTTTCTTTAACATCTTCTACTTACTGTAATCAGGCTCATCGCCCTACTATTTTACACAAACTGCTCTGATAAAGTTTACATGCAATTAAATCAAATTTGCTAAATTCAGTGGACGCTCAGTCCCATCTTACTAGACGTCTTGCAGGATTTGACACTGTTCACTACTTCCTTCACGAGACTTTTCTGATTAGTTCTTGGTTCTCCTCCTTTCACTCACCATTTCTTGGACCACCTTGGGTATTGCCAATCCATCAGATGTTGGTTTTTCAGGATTCTGTCTAATCTTCTCACTGTGTACGCTCTTTTGGGGTAAAGTTGCCTCTCCCTTACTATTTATGTATTACTGACTCCCAAATCTACATCTTCCACCCTGATCTCTACCCCTGGTTCCTGTTGATTTATAGCAGAATGAATTTTATGTTATTACCTTAATTCTGACATAGATCATGTCTCATCTAAACTATTGACTTTATTTCCATCTGGTCTCCTTGACTCCAGTCTTACCATCCAAGGCATCCAGTTTACTGCTACCAGAGTGATTGGTACTAACTGCAAATCGGACTGCATCTTCTACTTAAAACTCCTTAGTTAGCCTCTCAGGTACCTCCTTCTCCCTCCCCGCCACCTCTCCCAACTCTGACTCTTATTTATCTCTACATCTTTACCTTCTACAATACCCTTCCACACTTGGTGATCCAGAAATAAAAAATTTGAGTATATTACTGTTTTATTTACATTTATATTACTGCTTTATATGTATACATTTGGCTATATTTCTATTTTATTTTTCTCCGTGCTCTCTTTGCTTAGAATGACTTTTCTCACAATCTTTGCCTTTCTACAGTTGCTAGTCTTTCATAACTCAGCTAGAGGAATATATCTTCCAAGAAGCTTTAACAGCTCTCCTCCCTGCCCAGCATAGATGAGTTTCCTCCCTTGTGTCCCAGTCCTATCAAAACAGAACACATTGCCATACTTACTGATTCTGTCTACCTCCTCCATTGTAGATCCTTTGAAAGTGGTCGTATGAAGGGCTATTCCTGTGGTACTGAGGAGTACAGGCCTCGGAGTCGGTAGGCCCAGGTTTGAATTCCACCTCTGCCTCTTGTTGGCTGTATGCCCTTGGGCCAGTCACAACTCATTGAGCCTGTTTCCTCTTCAGTAAAATGATCTAATTTTACTCATCTTTGTATCCCCAGGTTCTGGCACCATGGTCAATGCACTCAACTTGATTATCTCTTTGTAGATTTTCCCACATTGTTTGCCCCTCCACTGTACATACACATCCGAGACTGGTGACTCTTGGTTATCATAACAGTAGGCCTGACATGAGTGAGTGATGGGTGAGTGTACCTGTGTGTAAGAGAGTAAGAAAGATAGTGAATGTATGAGCAGGTTATGGCCCAAGCTTAGTCTTACTTCATTTGATAGTTAAAAGTGGATAGTGTGTATCTAATTGGAGTACTAAGTAGGGTCACGTGGTGGCAGTGGGAATGAAGAATAAGTTATGCTAGGCAAAATAAGACTGGAAAAGATTAAACTTTCAGAATATTTGTATTTGCTTTTATACACATCCAGCTTGAAACCCATAAAAACAACCAAATTTGAATATGGTTTATTAAATTGACATCTTAAACTGAAGGCAGTTTTATTTTGATTTATAATATGTAAACTTCAGCATAATCATTTACTTTTGTTTCAAACAAAACCACAGGAGCAAGAGATTTCGGAAGTCTAAGATATGTCATTTGATTGATATTCTGGTACATGTGCTTCAGTAGAAAAGGTTAATATCTCATGTTAAAGTCTCATCTCAGCCTAGCTTTCAAAATATTCTTAGTTGTCTTTTCAAAGAACTTCCAGAATCTGCTTACGATTGTCTTAAAAGCATGAAATATGCAATACAGCAAGTACCATGCTTCCTTCAAAAAAAAAATGTGGATGTTGATAGCTGGAAGTAGACAGTGACATGCAGAAGTGAAAGTTACTATACCTCATTTTGGTTTTCTTGCTTTGTTTTGAATTCTTCAGAAGAATGTTTGATTCCCATAGCAATAGCTTATATTTGAGGCATGTTATTTTTAATATTTTTTTACTCAGGATATTCCCAGGGTATCAGAGCACATGGAAACACTACAAGAAAGGTCAGTACATGCTATACAGCATTCAAACTGGAAAAATTTCATCAAGAGAAAGGCAATGAAAGAGAAAGAAGGCATCTTACCAAGAAAAGTATTTCAGTGATTTTCTTTAAGATATGATTGTCCCTAAGAAGAATTCCCAAGGGAATGGGTCTGTATACACAGTGTGTTTGGGAAGAGCTTCAGCTGGCATGCTCCTTTCTCAGCCTTAAGAGAATCCACTTGAAGGAGAAATCCCATATATATGTTCAGTGTGGCAAAGCTTCTTTCAGAGCTTTCATTTCATCTAGCACCAGAGTTCTCATTTGTGAAAATGCCTATAAATGTGCTGAATTTACAACTCCACCCTCATTCAGCGCTGGAGAAACTATACATGTAGTGACAGGGACAGTTTTCATTTGGCTCAGATCTCATTGTGTATGAGAGAACACATAGTTTTCTGCCATCTTTTAGGGAGAAGGCAACCTGACAAATATCAAAGAAGATATTGCAAATACTTTCTTAGTCCATCAAGAAGGAAAATCAGCATGCTCTTCAGATGTTGGCTAGTTCACAAGGAAGAAAATGGGGCCAATTCGAAAGATGGACTCTAGGAGGCAGTTCTGTGTGAGGTGAAGAAATTGGTCAGCTATGAATATCCTTCTGTCAGTATCTACTCTCCACATCCACCTACTACTGTTTTTGACTCAACCTGCACTACTAGGTCCAGACGTCACTGCATCACTTGTTCAGTTATGCGCTCCCTCCTCTGTTTTTGTATCTGCAGGTACTCTTATTTATGATGATAGTATCATGGTCTTAGCTTGTCTCGACATCTTGTTCTTTTACTCGAAATCCTCTTTTTTAATTTTATTGGGGTGACTGTGGTTAATAACATAAATTTCAAGTGTACAATTCTATAACCATTCGTATATTGCATTGTGTGCTTTATACCCAGAGTCTAGTCTCTTTCCTTCACCTGATATTTGATCCCCTTTATCTCTTCCACCTTCTCCCACCCCCTTTTCCTCTGGTAACCACCATACTGTTGTATGTGTCTATGAGTTGTTTGTTTTGTTTATTTGTTGCTTTCTAGTTTATATGCCACATATGAGTGAAATCAACTGGTTCTTGTCCTTTTCTGTCTGACTTATTTTGCTTAGAATGATACTCTCAAGATCCATCCATGCTGTCACAAATGTCATCCTTTCTTATGCCTGAGTGTATTCCATTGTATGTATGCACCGCATCTTCTTTATCTAATCAGTCATCCATCAGAGGACACTTAAGTTGTTTCCATGTCTTGGCCACCATGAATAACCATGCAGTGAACTTAGGGGTACTTATGTTTTTACAGATAAGTGTTTCCAATTGTTTGGGGTAGATACCAAAAACGGGATTTCTGGGTCATATGGTAGCTTTATTCTTTGAGGAATCTTTATACTGTTTTCTATAGAGGCTGCACCAATTTTCATTCCTACCAGCAGTGCACAGATGTTTCCTCTTCCCCACAACCTCTCCAACACTTGTTGTTACTTGTCTTGTTGATGATAGCCATTCTCACATATTGGAAGCAATATCTCATTGTGGTTTTGATTTGTATTTTCCTAATAGCTAGTGAAATTGAGCATCTTTTCATGTGTCTATTAGCCATTTTTATGTCTTCTTGGGAGTAGTTTCTGTTCAGGTTCTCTGTGTATTATTTAACCCATTTCCCGTTTTAAAAATAAGGTGCAGCTCGCTGCCAGTGTTAATTTTACATAACGTGCTGTTTGAGGCTGAAGCAAATCTGACTGGTTTTCAATGTGAAAATAAAATATAAAAACTGTTCTTGGAGTTATTTCTAAATAGATCTTGTCTCTAATCCTCATGTAACAAATTATACATAAATCTGACTTATCAATGAATTTTTGGATAACAGCTGTTCGAGAACAATGTTAACATCACACGTAGGGATGCTGCGTTTTCTAGGATTTGACATTTTCAGCGACTGAGAATTACTATATTTTGTAAACAGAAATACCACTACTAAAAAGAGAATGCTATAAATAGAATGATGTCATTTGTTTCCAAAGACTATCGATGTAGTAGAGTGATGCGGAAATAATAATCAAAGTGAGATATTTTGTGGTAAACTTTGGGGGTAAGTTTAGGACTGTAATCAGCAAGTTATCTTGGGGTAAATTCTTCAGCTGCAAGTGCTACTGGCGAGTATTCTCTGGGCAAACGGGAAATGGGTTAATTGGATTGCTTTTTATTGTTGAGTTGTATAAGTTCTTTGTATATTTTTGATACTAGCCCCCTATCAAAGGCATTGTTTGCAAATATCTTCTCCCATTAGGTTGGTTGCCTCTTTGTTTCGCCGATGGTTTCTTTTGCTGTGCAGAGGCTTTTTAGTTTGATATAGTCTCATTTGTTTATTTTTGCTTTTATCTCTCTTGTCTTTGAAGTCAAATTCATAAAATCTTCTCTAAATCCAAGGTCTATGAGTTTAGTACCTATGTTTTCTTCTGTGCAGTTTATTGTTTTGGGTCTTATATTTAAGTCTTTGATCCATTTTGAGCCAATTTTTGTTTGTTATTGAGTTGTATGGTGACAGATAGCAGTCTAGTTTCATTCTTTTGCATGGAGCGTTCCAGTTTTCCCAGCACCATTTATAGATGACGTTTTCCTTCCTCCATTGTATGTCTTTGGCTCCTTTGTTGAAAATTATTTGCCCATAAATACAGGGGTTTATTTCTGGGTTCTCAATTCTGTTCCACTGGTCTGCTTGTCTGTTTTTCTGCCAATACCATGCTGTTTTGATTATTGTCACTTTGTAGTATAATTTGAAGTCAGACAGAGTGATACAACTAGACTTGTCCTTTTTTCTCCGGATTGCTTTGGCTCTTCAGGGTCTTTTGTGATTTTGTACAAATCTGATTCTATTTCTTTAAAAATTGCTGTTGAGATTTTGATGGAGATTGCATTCAATCTGTATAATGCTTTAGGTAATAAATTCATTTTAACTATGTGGATTCTTCCAATCCATGTACACTGAATATCTTTCCATTTCTTTGTGTCTTCTTCAATTCTTTTAATAATACCTTATAGTTTTCAGTGTCTTGGTCCTTTACATGCTTTGTTAGGTTTATTTTTAGGTAATTTATTCCTTTTTTTTTTTTGCAATTGCAAAAGAAATTTTTTATTTCTTTGTCTGAAAATTCATTGTACGTTGATGGATTTTTGTATGTTGATTTTGTATTTTGCAACATTATTTATTTATTGTTTCTAATAGTTTTTTTTTTTTGGGGGGGGGTCTTTTGGGGTTTCTACATAGAGAATCATGTCATCTGCAAAAAGTGACAGTTGGACTTCTTCATTCCCAACTTGGATGCCTTTTATTTCTTTATCTTGCATGATTGTTCTACCTAGGACCTCCAATACTATATTGAATAAGAGTAATGGTAGTGGACAGCCTTGTATTGTTCTTGATCTTGGAAGGTTTTTAGTTTTTCACCGTTAAATATATTAGCTGAGGGCTTGTCATGTATGACTTTCTTGGCTGGTAATTACTGTCTTTCAGTAGTTTGAATATTTGGTTCCACTCCTTTTTGCTTGTAAGGTGTGTGCTGAGAAGTCTGATGATTATCTAATGAGTTTTCCTTTATAAGTTACTGTCTTCCCTGGTTGCCTTGAGAATTATTTTTTGTCGTTAATTTTTACCAGTTTTAATATAATATGTCTTGGAGAAGGCCTTTTTGGATTGAGATAATTAGGTGTTCTGTTCGCTTCTTAGTTTCGAGGATCCAGTTCTTTCCATATGTTTGGGAAATTCCCATTGGCTATTTGAATAGGATCTCGGTTCCCTTCTCCTCTTATTCTTCTGGTATGCCCATTATTCTCATTTGCTTTTTCTGATGGTGTCAGATCGTTCCAGTAGAGTTCTTTTCTTTTTCTTTTTTTTTCTTTTTTACTATGAAATCTGTCTCCTCTTCCATCTGCGTCATTTCCAATTTCTTTCTTTGATATTACTAATTCTTTTCCTTCATCTGGTCAGCTGTTTTCCTAAGCTGTCTATTTCATTCTTCACCTCTTCACCTCTTTTATAAAAGAGGTGAAGAATGAAATAGTACAAAACTGCAGAAGTTACAGTTTTGTACCCTTCGTCTTTTTGTTCCAGTAGAAGAACTCCTTTTCATTATTTCTTACAGTGCAGGACTTATGGTGGTAAATTCCATCAGCTTCTGTCTAGAAAAGATTTTATTATTATTATTTTTTCATATCTAAAGGATAACCTTGTTGGTTATATTATTCTTGGCTGGTAATTTCTCTCTTTCAATATATTTTTTTATTAAGTTTATTGGGGTAACATTGGTTAATACAATTATATAATTTTCAGGTGTACATTATCATTTGACATCTGTATATTCTATTGTGTGTTTACCACCCAAAGTCCAGTTTCCTTCAGCTAACATATATTTACTCCCCTTTACCACTTCACCACCCCCCCAGCCCTGCCCTGTATTTGATTTCCTTTAACCGCCTACCTACCCTTTCCTCCATTCCATACCTTCTGGTAACCACTAGTCTATAGTCCATGTCCATGAGTCTCTGTTAGTTTGTCCTGTTCATTTGTTGCTTTTTGGTTTATATTCCACAAAAAAGTGATATCATGTGATTTTCAACTTTTTCTGTCTGGCTTATTTCGCTTACCATGATTATCTCGAGGCCCATCAATGTTGTCGCAAATGGCAGTATTTCATTTGATCTTATGGCTGAGTAATATTCCATTGTATGTATGTACCACAGCTTCTTTATCCAAACATCTGTCATAGGACACTTCGATTGCTTCCATGCCCTGGCCACCGTGAATAATGTTGCTATGAACATAGGTGTGCAAATATCTTTTCAGATATATGTTTTCAAGTCTTTGGGGTAAACACTCAGTAGAGGGATTGCTGGATCATATAATAGGGCAATTCTTAGTTTTCTGAGGAACATCCATACTGTTTTCCATAGTGGCTGTACCAATTTTCAGTACC